GGAGGATGTGGAGGGGGATGCGGTGGTGGTGGAGGGGGTGGTTGTGGTGGTGGTGGGAGCTAGATGGCTTCTTCTTGATCGTTTATGAATCTTTGATGGACTGGTATTTTCTGGTATTGGGATTCTTTAGCTTGCTTGCTTCTTTCCTTCATTTCGTTAGTGAGGTTGGGATCCTGCGGGGTTTTCCTTGTTTCTTGCTTCTTATTTTTTATTTCTACGCAGGCGTTGCTTTCGAGAATCGAGGTAGACAGGAGAGGAGAAGAAAAGAAGTTGGCATACCATGAGTGGAAAGTGGAATGTTTGTGGAGTTGGTGATGGGGTTATAGCTTGCTAGGTAGCTAGCTATCGGCACTAGTCCTTAGCTTGTAATGAATATAATTCATGATTGATGCCCTTGAGTTTTCTTGAAATTTGGATCTTTTCTTTGAGTGAGTGGGTGAGTATGTGAGTAAGCAGTGAGGTGGTGAATGAGTAAGTGGTGAGTTGCAGATCTTGGGGGTTGGGATATGGGATGTGGGAGGTGGGAGGTGGGAGGTTTGTATATAACTCCGAGTAAGGAGAATGGAAGACTGGAGGAGTGTGAGATTTTTGATTGTGGGATGGAATGGACGGTGGGATGGTGGGGTTGTTGAATATACATAAATTTTAGTAATTAGAATGGGAGAGAAGAACTGTGGGATTTCGGGTTGTTGGTTGGCAGGTTAAGTTCTTTATTGATGGAGATGGGGATGGGGATTTGAGGTTGGATGATGGGTGTCAGCGCATCTTTGACATTCACGACAATCCCCGTAACACTTTCCTTCTAGGGAGCGTAAGCTAGGTACGAAAGCGGATTAAGCACCAGTGAACAATTTAGAAGCAATTCATGAGTACTTGGATGTTGTATAAAAGCAGCAAGAAACCTCCCCCTTTTCCAGCGACGCTTGTAAAAGCAGCGTCTTGGCGCCTCGCTTAATCGCGCTCAACTCACTCTCGATCTTGTAATGCTGTTCCTCTTTTCACTTCACATCTCCTGCCGACATCATTAAAACTAATTCCTTGATCAGCCTGAGATTAAACACCCCCATTGTAGTTGTGCAGATCTTCTCACGTTCTACTGAGCGACACCTTGAAACCCCAACACGTCTTCCGCCTTGCGCGCGCATCGCGGACGCTCCTTTCTCGCAAGTTGTCTCGTCGCGCAGACTCCAGCTCCTCTCGAGCTCCTCTTAGTATCCGGCGACTGATCTTAACACAAAGTTAGACACTTCCGACTGGTTGACATTTGAGGCTTCTGATCCTGTGCCTCCTAGCTTTCAGTGAACGTAAGTTGATCCATCCAGTCGTATCACAATTGACGCATAAACACGTACTGATATCGTTAGATCTCAGCTACTAAGAAAAGACTCCGACTGAATCAATCTACCAGACTGAAAGACTCTACCAGACTGAACAAGCAAAGATGCCACCGAAGCGAAAGGCGGCAAACTCTTCTTCAAACGCGCCTGAGCCCAATAAGCGGGCAAGGCACGGGGATCCCGACAAAGATAATGGAAGAGGATTTGATTCCGACGTTCTCTTCATGACCCGCCGACTGGAGTATTCAAACATCTGGATGTCTCCAGAACGGGAGATTCCAGCAGACCGCGAAGCCCGGAAAGCTGCCAGCTTCCGAAGCCGACCTGATAACGATGGGTATATAACCATGAACCCGTCAAGATATACCTATTACGAGCACTTTCTAGCTCGTTTGCATAGAGGAAGTTTGCCTTATCCCGAGCAAATGGCCAGAACACTAAACAAATTCCGAGGAAAGCTGCCAAAAAAGGTTGCTGAGTTACTTGAAGGACCGGATGGCTTACCTGATGCATTTATCACTCGTCGCTGGGAAAGTAGCAACCGTGCCAATCCAGACTTAGATCGCCCGCCCAGTTACTTCGTGACTGAGTTTCAAGACTGGGTTTTAGAAGTGATCAACGTTTATAATCGAAAGTCGGCAGACTGGGTAGAGCTGGTGAATTCCGGCTCAGTGGAGAACGCCACGAGGCAGCAAATTCAAGAATGTCTCGCTAATTTGTTGTCCAACCAAGGCCATAGAATCAAACCTATTATGCCAATGGGAGACAAGGCAGATCTCGCCGTCATTCAAAAGCTCTCTGAATCTCCGGTGGACCAAGGCAGTGAGCAAGGTGAGAGAGGGGTGGATAGGTACAGACTAGGAGACCATGGCAGACAAGGTGGAAATTCAAGACAGGCAAAGGTTGAAGGAGAGGCAGAATGGGAGGCACAGGCCAGCGATTCGAATCGACGGAAGCAAAGAGTAGAGATCGACCTGACTCTCTCTTCTGACGACGAGGAAGACGTGAGACCCTTACGAGTTACTATCGAAGAACTTCGCATTTCCCAGGATTCTTTGCCGGGGGGAAGTCAAGCTCAGGCTCAGGATAACCACCAATATCAGACTGGAAACGAATCTCAGACTGCAAGCCAATTTCAGACTGCAAACCAATCCCCGACTGAAAACCAATCCCAAGCTGGTCTTCAAGCTCGCTATAGCAACCAAGCTCAGAATCAGACTGCACAGCCATTAGTAAGTCACCCAAGCATCCATTCCTCTCTTCGTTAATTCAGATATGACTATAGGCCGACGACCTGGAACACTTTTCTGCGTATGTCGCTTTAATGTACAAGAAACATTACGGCAACTAGAGGGGGACGAGGGGAAATTTCATGTTATACAACCATCACAGACTGTTTTGAGCCTTCCTAGAAAGTAGCGGTTCACGAATTAAATACTTAGGTCGTCTTTTGAAAAATCAATAGAACCTTTTTGCAAGTATTGTACTATGTGATGGGTGCTACTATAAGAAAGCTTCTTACGCTCTATCTGAGATTCCCGTACAGTAATAACAAAAACGTATCACGTCTTAAAAAATACAATAGTAGACCTTTGTATGGCAGTAAGCGATCTCGAGGCTTGTTACCCTCGAGTTAAGGGTCTTAGCCAAAGCGGTGAGATTAATAGTGAAGTAATGAGCAGTCGTAAAATCATTCTTTCTTCAAGAGCTAGTGGCAATATGACGATAAGCGGGGTTACGGCTACGGTAACAGGGGGTGCGTTTTTGTTCGCGTACAGCACTCGTACCGGTACTTGATGTGGAGCTGGGAGTTGAATTTTTGTTGGTAAATTACAGTATCATTAGGTACCTGCAAATGGTTTTGGGGCAATAATACTCGATGTAATCCTATATCATCCCTCCTTTCGAAACACCAACAGGAGGCTTAGATGGCTAATCCGAGATGGCCTGCTCAGACTTATGTTGTTCCTAAGCAATTCTGCAAGGTGCGGGCGTTGTCCCCCAACCGCAGGTTTCCCTTGGCCAATATATATAAGTGGAGATCCTCTTCCTGCATGCTTATCAGATCCGACCAGGATGGTGATGGGACAGAACCATTGGTTCACGCCGGTGTTTCTGTTATCAGATCTTACTAGGATCTGATTGATGCAGCAATGACTATACCAATTGCGATGTTCCGTATCCATTGACTAGCTACAACGTAGGCGAACCAACGCTGAACAGTGTTGGTTTGACTAGTGAGAATGGTTGTCTCGATCCTCTACTTCTGAGGAATTCTTCTTGTCTTCACGACAACTTTTGAAAGTGACGAAATCTACGTTCTTTTCCGAAAATCTTCGTTTTCAGAATTCGTCTGCGCTACCACTACTGGCTTTCTACAGCAGCTAGTATCAGTCATGAACTCATTTGTTGTGAGCAAAGCAGCGGCTGGGCAGAGTGAGCCAGGTATGCACAACGAGAAGGGCGGCATACCTGTTAATGTGCGAAGCGGTGATCTAGAGCAACATGGAGATCAAGGCACGACGAAACACGATACTACCGGCGGCCGTGATGACGATGAAGCATTCCTCGTGAAATTCAACGTAGACGATGCAGAGAACCCCCTGAATTGGTCTCAAAAGTTAAAATGGGGAGTCACCATAGCCGTGTCCGGTACAGGATTTGTCCGCATCATGGTTTCGACAGTAAGGCTTTCATTTCATGCTCGAGCTTATACTACCCACCTGCAAGGCACGAGGCTAACAATTGCTTATACAGATGCTGGCACCTGCAATCGACACTATTGCAAATGAGCTAAGCATGTCAACTACCGAGTCATTCATGTCACTCTCTGTCTATCTTCTGGCGACCGCATTCGGACCACTTGTTATTGGCCCTCTATCAGAAATCCATGGCCGAAGCCATATATTCCACATGACGAATGTGTGGTTCCTAGTCTGGAACCTCGTTTGCGGCTTTGCGAACTCGAAGGGTCTGCTTATTGCTGCTCGCTTGCTAGCTGGCTTTGGTGCTAGTGCCGTGTACAGTCTAGCATACGGTGTCCTCGGCGATGTGTGGTCAGCCGAACAAAGAGGACGTTCCTTGAGCTTATAATTGCTGATCCCATTGACGGGTTCGGCGGTTGGTCCCATAGTTAGCGGGTTTATCGTTCAGTACTCTACATGGCGATGGATGTTCTGGGCAACAACTATTCTCCAAGTCATAGTTGCGTTAGCTTCTGTTTTCTTGTTCTTCGAGAGCTATGCACCTGTTCTCCTCCGCCGCCGCGCCGAGAAACTTCGCAAGGAGAATAACGACTCTCGCTATCATACTGAAACTGACAGACTTGAATCCGGACGATCTGCAGCTTGGGAGTTGGGCCACAACTTGTCTCGCCCGCTACGCCTTTTAGCATTTCATCTTATCATCCAAATCCAGGCCATCCTAGAAGGTATCAATTACGGCTTATTATATTTTGCATTGTCCAGCTTCTCCTCTCTTTACGTCTCCGCATATGGCGAGTCTATTTCCATCTCCGGCCTCCACTATACTGCTATATGCACTGGTACTATATCCGGATCTCAGCTCTGTGGGCCGCTCATTGACTACTTCTACAAGAGACTTGCCGCTCGCAACGGTAATACCCATATACCTGAGTTGCGAATCCCGCTTCTGCTGCCGGCTGTTTTGATCACACCTCTTGGGCTGGTACTCTACGGCTGGGCAGCAGAGTATCACCTCTTCTGGCTTATTGTTGATATTGGAGCGGCGTTGCTCTCCCTTGGCATGCAGTTCTTCGACAATACGCTTCATGCCTATGTTATGGATGCGTACCCTGAGCACGTTAGCTCGGCGTCGGCTGCAACACAGGTGCTTCGGAGTCTCTTGGCGTTCGCGTTTCCATTATTCTCGGACAAGGTGTATGAAGCATTGGGCTATGGTCGGGAAAATAGTTTGTTGGCGTTTTTGTCAATTGGTGTTGCCCTGCCTGTGACGGGAATACTCTAGCACTTTGGTGCGACGTTGAGGGCTAGACAGCTGTCAAGCTACTAGGGACTCTCGGGGAATATCGCATGAGTGTGGATGTATGGTCAGCTTTGTAGTATGCATCTTGGTATACTTTCTGCAGATGGTCTTGCTTTGAGCCTGGAAGATATGCTGGAGTTCTGAGTGCCGGCTTGGAAATAATGTTTTACTGATTTTTTGAATAATATAAAATATGACCAGGAAACCTAAGCGCAATCTATGGAAAAGGGTTGTTCGCAAGTGACTTCGCTTGCGTCTTACGTCGCCTCCAAGCAGTCATCTGGGTATAAGTCCATTAAAGAGCTATCAACCTACAGTCGTTCCATGATATCTCCGGAGATAAGTAAAGTATTTCTTTACTAGTTAGTACTATCCTCGATTTCCTCAGCACATGAGAGAGAGATTTTCAGTTACCATAGCCATACCAAAACCCCAGCTTGAGAAAGATCGAGCTAGTAAGTCCACCATTATCGAGGCTTATTTTTGAGACTTCTTCACCACCAATTTCTACTTAAATAGCTATGAACTATTAGATTACACTCCATATGTAGCTTATGACTTCTGTAGCAAAAGACACCTTTCGCGGACGTGATCCTCGCAAAACATCATAAACCAAAATCAACCAATTATACTTATACCACCACAAAACCACTCCACTCCACTCCAAGAAATCCTCTATCCAGTTAATCCAAAACCTAATTGTCTCTCCGAAACCCTTTTGACACTTCAAAGACCATCTTTTCCCAATACCAGAAAACTGAATTCCTACTAATAACACAACTCAAGAGACTGCATTTATCACTCTCTCCTCATCTACCCACAAAACATATCCAACACCAACCCACCCATTCCAGCAGATTCCTCCCTCATCCAACCCCTTCCTACTCTACACTCTCCACCCCCTTCCCCCCTCTCCTTATAAAATTATCATAACCTAGATTTCTTACTACTAACCTAAACACACCAGACCCTCTCCAGACTCGCAACCTCCATTCCCGACGGGCCACGAATCCACAAACCCGTGAACCCCTACAGCAGTCACAAGCTCATCTCCTCATCTCTAACCCCATCGCCACCATACCTATCAAACCTACAGAAATGCGTCCCCCGCAAGCCACCGTCTAGTCTTGAGCTTGGTACCATCAAGTTTCCCACCACATCCAACTCCCAATTCCTAATCACTAATTCCCCAATCCCTTCACTCAACCCACAGGCCACACACAGAAATTACACAAAATCCAAATCCAACTCCAGAGATATCCCCCTCTGCCCCTTTCCTTACCCGCCCTTACAAGATCCCGAAACATCACGAGGGAATACAGAAACAGAGTCGTCCTCCGCAGTAGTTCTATCATGGCAGTGGAAGTAGATTACCCAGGGCGGTAGATAGTCCACGCGTATCCACTGATTGAACCTGAAATCCCGCATTCAACATGACATACCACGATGATTCTCACACGGGAGGGAAGTAGAGTAGATTGGGATGAGAGTTTCCATACGTTATTTATTCTAGCAAATTTTCTCTATGCTGTAGCTTCTACTGTAGCAGAATGCGGTATTCCCATCTCAACCATCTGCAAGTTCGCGATTCATCACACGATACCATCAGAATCCCCAGATGGATGTTTAAGTGACAGCACCACAACAGAATATTTACAGACACGTTGAAGTCACAAAAATCATCAAAACCACAAAAGTTGAACTTGAAATCTTCATTTTGAACGATTCAAGTATCTACATACTTCCAATGGCAGCAGAAATCATCAGTGATCTCGCGCAGGAAGTGTGAATCAATTATCTAACATACATGGTACCGTCTTGAACAATCCTCGACCTCAATTCATCACTCCGAAATTTCCCTCATAGACACCCTTCTCTGCCCACTTTGGTGTAGATGGTGCAGCGTTGGGGTTGATTCCATTGACTGGTCCTTGTGGCGCCATCTTGGAGGCAACACGGCCAGTAGAGATGGCGTACTTGAGTGCACTGTCAAAATGGCTCTCGCAGATGTCATTACACACTTGAGAGATTCCTGCTTCTGTCAAAAAGTTGTTCTTTTTTGTCCAGTGGTTGAGAAGGTCCAACATCTTCTCTTCTGTCATGACATGTTCCCCTGCCACTTTCAACTCCTCAATCTCACGATGCAAAGAAGCCATATCGTCAACCTTGCTTCCATCATATTCAAGTCCGCTCTGGACATCAAATTTCTTGTGTGAACCATCAATCTTCTCTTGGAAGCCATCAACCTTGCTTCTGATCTCATCGATCTGCATCAGCATGGACGTAATGAACAGATCAAAGTGAGTCTTCGTCGCGGCGTCAATATCCTTCTTCATGGTTGAGAGAAGAGATGCGAGATCCGCGGATCCAGAAATTGGGGCGACATTGGTAATGGGTGATGAGACCTCCTTTGGTGACGGGCTTGTAGTGGAGGCACCCAGTTGTTCAAGATTTTGATAAGGGGCGTTGAGGGTAAGTTGATCGCACTTGGTCTCCAAACCTGCTGTCTTTGCGAGCAATCGTTGGATGTGCAATTGGGTCTTTTCCTCCAAATTGGTTGTCTTTGTCATCAATTCTCGAATCTCAAAATCTGTCTTCCCTGCAAGACCAAGTGTCTTTACTTGCAACCCCTCAGTTCTTTCTTCTAAGCCGAGTGTCTGGTCCTTCAACTCATAAAAGCTCAACAAGTGAGCATTGAGTTTATCCTTCATATGGCCAACCATTTCTCGCAATGATTCGTCGTCAGAATCAGGCTTTGGCTCTCCGGACTTCCCATTCAACTCATCAATAGAGTAACCCAAAGCAGTGATCTTTCTCTCGAGAACTTCCACAACAGCAAGCTTGCTCTGAATGTCCTGAAGCATCTTCGGCATTTGAGCAGCTGCACCAATCTTTCCCATGAGCAGTGCTCGATAACTACCCAAAACGGTCTTCTCAAAACGGTCGACACGTCCTGACACGTTGCGGATGGCAGCAGCCTCTCTATATGGTCCCGATGCAGCGAGGATCATCGGGCGGATTGTATTCAACTGTGCAGCCTCGCTGGCCGCAATCTTCTCTGAGATGAGGGATCGAACAGATTCATCATTGGATGTATGGGTATTCGAAATCTGCTCTTCCAATTGTTGAAACTTTTCCCCAAAGAAATTTTGGAAAATTTCCTGACATTGGCCTCGAATTGCCTGCATGTCAACAGGAGCATGTGTAATTCTACATGCCCCATCATAGATACCGGTGATCAGAGTATCAAGATCAGATAGCAGAGGTTCGACTGTGGCAGGCTCCGTGGGAACAGGAAACTCCTGCTTAGGGAGTGTTGGTGGCTCACGTCCGTCAATGACCTTTGCAATGATCTTCTTCGCAGTATTGTCAATGCATGCGACCGCATAAACATTGTTGTCTTGGAGAGCCTTGTGAAGGCGGAACGCGCTCTCAACGACGGTCGGATCCATGGTTGTACAAGGCTATTGATGTCTGGAGATGAAGTCAGCTTTGATCGCGATGATGAAGGATGTTGACCGACTTACAATGATGTGGTATGTTCAGACAGCCAAGTCGGAATCAGAGACAGAGCGACAGAGTGACGCGACCGATTACCAAAGGTGAGGTGGTGGTTGAGGTGTCGAGGTCTCCGACAGAGCAGGTTAGCATAGAGCTTCAAGGGGCGAGATAGAGGCAAGGTAGACATACAGAAACGCTATAGAACCAATTGACAGAACAGACAGGACGATCTCCAGAACAAAACGCACCAAAAGAAAGGTAGTGGTGGTTGTATTGATGGAAAGAAGGAAGGAAGGAAGTCGTGGGCAGCGACTACACTTTTAAATTTGCTAAGCGAGACGCGGACAACTGCCAGGCCAGGCAACAAGGCAATAACCGACCGTTGCTAGGTGTCTGGATAGGCACTTGATAGCGCTAGTGCAGAGTTTTCTTATCAACAGGTTTCTACTAGATTCCTTAGAAAGCTTTTGCGTAAGTTTCATTCACTCATCTTCGTGAGTGAATATCCTGGTCTGTCAGCTGTGACAACTAAGTAAGATACTAGCTATTACTCTATAAATAGCACGTAAATGGTTATTATACCAAACATCTAGTGTAATTGAAATGACTTACTTAGTATACCTAGGCTAATAAAAAGTAACGATTAATAATTATCCAAACTCTTTATATAACTACCTTAGTTATCTAAGCCTTTTAGAATAATCTTATTCTAAGAGAAGTATTTACCGAGTAATAGTTACCGTACTTACCTTAATAGATTACGTAGATAAAATTAAGAAGTTCTAGAATACTTAATTATCTAAGTCTCTTAGTAATCTTATTCTAAGAAAAGTATAACTTTATATAAAGTAATAATTACCGATCTTGCCTTAATAGATTACGTAGCTAATAGTAAGAAGTTCCAGATAACTTAATTATCTAAGACTTTAAGACTAGTCTAATTCTAATAGAAGTATATCTAAAGTAAAAATTATATTTCTTACCTTAATATATTAGATAATAAAGAGAAAGAACCTCTAGAGTACTTAATTATCTAAGGCTTTTAGAATAATCTTACTCTAAGAGAGAGAAATATTAAGAACAATTATTATATCTCTTCTCTTAATAGATTAAGTAGTTAGAAATAGAAACTTCTAGAACACTTAATTATCTAACGTAGTCCACAAGCGAGTTGGATTCCCAAGCGAAATGGATTTTTTTCTTGGCACTCCACAAACTTATTCAGAGCGCGTTTTTTCTTAACAAACAAAATGGTTAAGCATTGGACAGAGTCTGATATGATTCTTGCGCTAAATACGCTTCGTACGAACCCACATTTAAAAGTTAAGAAGGTTGCGCGGATCTATAAAGTACCTTATACGACATTGCTTAATCGAACTCATGGAATATTATCACGACAAGATTCTATCGCTAAATCTCGAAAACTTACAGAGATTGAAGAAATAGTTATCGTACGACATATTCTCGACCTAGATTCTCGATCATTTCCCCCACGAGTACGTTGTGTTGAAGATATGGCGAATCGTATCCTCTCGGAGCGGGGTGCAGGACGCGTTGGCAAGAACTGGACTTCGAACTTCGTACGACGACAACCTGAACTTAAGACGCGTTTTAATCGAAGGATTGATTATCAAAGAGTCCAATGCGAAAATCCAGACGCGTATAACGCGTGGTTTCGCCTCGTACGAAATATAATTGACAAATATGGGATTCAGGAGGAGGATATTTATAACTTTGACGAGACTGGGTTTTGTATGGGCCAAATTACATCAGAAATGGTTGTTACAAGTACCGAAAGGCTTTCTCGGCCTCGTACAGTACAGCAAGGAAACCGGGAATGGGCAACAGTAATTCAAGGTGTTGGGTCGTACGGCTTTGTAGTGCCTCCATATATCATTTTGGCGGGGAAGAACCACCTCTCCTCCTGGTACGAAAACAGCCAATTACCACGCGACTGGGTAATTGCTGTAACTACAAATGGCTGGACAACAAATGAGCGAGCCCTAGATTGGATTTTTCATTTCGATCGGCATACAAAGCTTCGTACGAAGGGCATTCACCGGCTGCTTGTGCTTGATGGCCATGAAAGCCACCACTCAGTCGATTTTGAGCTTTTTTGTAAGAGTAATAACATTATTACTCTTTGCATGCCAGCTCATTCCTCTCATAGACTCCAGCCACTCGATGTAGGATGTTTTCGAGCGTTAAAAAGGTCGTACGGTGCTGAACTTGAGAAATTAATGCGACTCCACATTACATATGTTTCTAAGGAGGATTTCTTATCAACATTCTATACTGCCTTTCGTACGACAATGACTGAATCAAACATTCGAGGAGGATTTCGAGGATCTGGCTTAGTGCCGTACGACCCAGATTCTGTGATTTCACAGCTTGATATACGTCCAAGGACTCCGTCACGTCCATCTACCTCAACAAGCCTCCTAGCTATTTGGGAACCAAAGACCCCAAATAACATAACAGAGGCATATTCCCAGACGTCATATATACAAAACAAGGTCGTACGACACCAAGATAGTTCTCCGACCCAGATTCTATATGGCCTAGACCAGCTTGCAAAGGGTGCACAGCGTGCAATCACTGAGGTAGCTTTATTACGAGCTGAGAATGCTACACTTCGTACAGCAAATGATCAACTTAGTCGGCGTCGTCGTACGAAAAAGCGCCGATTACAGGAAGGAGGATCACTTACTCTCCAAGATGCGCAAGATTTAGGGGTCCTTAGTAATGTTGATTCGCAAGAACAAGTGGTTTAAGTAGAAAATAGTAATTGTACGAGCCCGAGTCTAGTACCTCGCCGGCGCTGTGGACTATGTGGGAAACATGGCCATAACATACGAACTTGTCAAAAAGGAGAAGAAATATGTGAGGATTCCGATTCTGAATACTGTAATTAATTTAATTAATTGTGTCGTGAGATATTTAAGAATTTATAAAATGCCAAGAAAAAAATCCATTTCGCTTGGGAATCCAACTCGCTTGTGGACTACGTTAAGCCTTTTAGAATAAGATTATTATTAGAGAGAAATATATAGGTAAGTATTATATATTTAGAAATAAGAACCTCTAGATTATCTAATTATCTAAGGCTTTTAGAACAAGAGTATTCTTAGAGAGAAATATATAAAAGTAATAGCTATAACTTATCTCTTATTTTAACTAATTAAGTAGTTAGAAAGAAAGACCTCTAGTAAAGTTTATTATTTAAATCTTTTATAATAAAATTGTACTTATAGAAATCTATATTAATAAGTATTAATTATATATCTTATTTTAATAAATTAACTACCTTAGAGGGGAAAGCGGAGTTTTTTAGATAGTTATAGAATAATTTATAAAAGTAAAACTATTATAAAACTATTTCTAGATAATTTAAAATTATATAACTATTTTAATTTATGACCATGTATTATAAAAACTATCTTAAATTTTAAACTAATATAAGATAATTTAAAAGCTAAATAGTCTTTAATTTATAACTATTTAACTTATATATAATTATATAAGTATTATACGTAAGGTACTCTAGGCCTTAGCCCTCGGGCGCCTATAGGTATATACCCTAGACGCGGTAGTATATCTTATAATAACTATACTACCTATACTACCTATATTACACGTAATACTACCTATAATACGCGCTTATTAAATTTCGCTAAATCGATTAAATATAATACTTATTTCCTTATAGCGTTAGGGTTAAGCGTATAGGAGTAGTACCGAGTACGTGATATAGCCTATACGCTACGGCTCTATAGCCCTACGTAGGTACTTTTCCGCTACGTTCTAGTGTAACGAATACTCAAACTGGCTAACTAAACTTGGCTGGGTGTTCGCTGGTTGGTATGCTATGATAAGAAGAAGACTATCGGGTTGTTCACTTGGAAGTGAACTCGTTACTTGTATCAAAGATGTCAAACTAATATGATAAGATTGATAACTAAGTTGAGCACGAAGCTCCTATCTAATGGCAGACGTGCCAGTCTTATATAGAGGACCTTCGTTCTGTCTTGATCACTCTCATCGACTGTCGATGTTGGCGATCATCGCTTTCATCGACAACGATAATGTCGATGAAGCTTATCACGTGATTTCTTCCTGTGAAATCCTTGGATCGTCTAGCTAGTCTATTCGATCCCTATTTGCTATAAGAGCTTGTGATGTGCTTGACCTGTCAGGACGCCGCCTGGTCTTCACTCATCCCGTGACAACACGTGATTCGTGACATCTAGAACCGTCTTAGGAGCGTCCGAGAACCGTTCTACGAGCGTCCGAGAACCGTCCTATAAGCGTTTAGCGAGTATTAAAGAACGATTCGTAAATTATTTATGAATTAAACTAATAATATAAAAGATAAATTAGTTTAAACATAAGACTATTTATAAGTAAAATAGTTTTAAGATAGCCTTAAAACTATTTTATATTTAGATAGTTATAAATATAACCTATTTATATATAAAATGATTATAATATAGTTTTAAAACTATTTAATATTAAAACTATGATAAATTTAAACTATTATACTTATAAATAGTCTTAAGATTATTTTTCATTTAGATAGTTATAAATTCTAGACTATTCAAATTTTTAAATAGTCTTATATTATTTTAAAAATTAAAATAGTTTTTATAATAAATAATTAGAAATTAAAATAGTTATATATTTATAAATTATCTAGAAATAGTTTTATAATAGTTTTACTTTTATAAACTATTATATAACTATCTAAAAAACTCCGCTTTCCCCTCTAAGTGTCACGAATCACGTGCTAGCATGTGACGAGTTAGTCCAGACGGCGTTCTGACAAAACAGATACATCCTGAGTAGTTATACCATAGCAGTGGTTACTCAGGGTTGTTGAGTATCCAAGGATTTCATAGCATTCATAGTCACGTGACGACAGTGCGACAAGCGAGTTGTCGACATTCAGGAT